AAGACGGCAAGAGCCTGGGACAGATGACAACTTTGTGTAGCTGAGCAGCCTTGGTCTAACCAGTTATGTGAAACAGCTAAGGCTTCATTTGTTTATGTCACTGTAGCTGGGTTTCCTGTTATATATACTTAAATGCAGTCCTAATAGGTACGTAGTGCATGCTCTCAAAAACAGTTAAAGGCTCAGTACATACACCTTTGCATCAGTCTTGATTCCAAATCAGTGCATGAGCAAATCCTGTCTGCTCTACAAATCCTGTCTGCTCTACCATCAAAGTGTGTTCCATATTTCAACTACTTAATACTTTCTACCACGCCCACTGCCATTAACCTGGCTGAAGCCACCACCATCTCTCACTCATGCTGCAGCGTTCTCTTAATGGGCCACCTGGGTCTGCTCTTTTATTCCTTCAGTCTTTTCTCAACGTGGCAGCTAGAATGACTCCATTAAAATGTAAATCAGATGGTATCACCTCTCTCATAAAAGCTCTCCAATGGTGTCTCTGTTACTCAGATTAGAAGCCAAAATCTTTAAAATGGACTATAGGGCACTCACCTGAATGGGCTCCTCTCTGTTTAGTTTTTTTTTCATTTGTCTTGTTTTGTTTGTTTTTTTCGGTTAGATACGTTCTATTACTGCCTTCAAGTTTGCTTATTATTATTTTATTTTTATTTTTATTTTTTTTTTTTAGACGGAGTTTTCGCTCTTGTTACCCAGGCTGGAGTGCAATGGCGCGATCTCGGCTCACCGCAACCTCCGCCTCCTGGGTTCAGGCAATTCTCCTGCCTCAGCCTCCTGGGTAGCTGGGATTACAGGCACGCGCCACCATGCCCAGCCAATTTTTTTTTTTTGTATTTTTAGTAGAGACGGGGTTTCACCATATTGACCAGGATGGTCTCGATCTCTTGACCTCGTGATCCACCCGCCTCGGCCTCCCAAAGTGCTGGGATTACAGGCTTGAGCCACCGCGCCCAGCCAAGTTTGCTTATTCTTTTGCAGGATCTAATCTATCGCACTCACTCAGTGAATTTTTAAATTTTGAAACTTGTAATTTTCAGCTTTTCTTCATTTTTTGATTAATATTTCATAATTTCTATTTCTCTTATACTCATGTTTTCCTTTAAATTTTTGAACATACTTTTTTTTTATTTTTGAGATGGAGTCTCACTCTATCACCCAGGCTGGAGTGCAGTGGTTCGATCTGGGCTCACTACAACCTCAGCTTCCCAATTTCAGGCAATTCTCTTGCCTCAGCCTCCCAAGTAGCTGGAACTACAGGCACCTGCCACCATGCCTGGCTAATTTTTGTATTTTTAGTAGAGACAGGGTTTTACCATGTTGGCCTGGCTGGTCTCAAACTCCTGACTTCAAATGATTTGCCTGCCTCGACCTCTCAAAGTGCTGAGATTACAGGTGTGAGCCACTGCACCTGGCTTGGAACATACTTATAACAGCTAATTTAAAGTTTTTGTGTATTAATCTCTGTCGTTTCCAGATCTGTTCTATTGACACATTTTTATCCTGGTTATATAGTCAGATTTCTTGTTTTTTGGTTTATCTGGTGATTTTTTTAATTGGATGCTTGACATTATAAATGTTCATTGTTGTTGAACGTTTAGATTTTGTGGCCAGGCAGTTAATTTCTTTGGAGATTGACATCTTTCTTTTCTTTCTTTCTTTTTTTCAGACAGGGTCTCATTCTGTTGCCCAGGCTGGAGTGTAGTGGTGTGATCATAGTTCACTATAGCCTTGACCTCCTAGGCACAAACAATTCTCCTGTCTTAGCCCTCCAAGTAGCCGGGACTACAGGTGTATGCCACCATGCTCAGCTAATTAGTTTAAATTATTTTTTGTAAAGACAGAGTCTCTATGTTGCCGAGGCTGGTCACAAACTCCTGGACTCAAGCAGTCCTCCCATCTCGGCCTCCCAAGGTGCTGGGATTACAGGCATGAGCCACTGTGCTCCACTCAGCTCGAACATTTTGAAGCTTGTGTTTAGACTTCGTTAGAACAGGTCTAGAGTCACCTTTACCATGGGGATAGTGCAGCCCTTGACTAAGGCTTGACCCTTCTGAGGTTTCTATTAAATCCCTACCTGCTCAAGGACTTTCCACTCTAGCCAGCCTTAAGTCAAACGTCTCCCAGCCCTGTGCGAGCTCCAGTGGTTACTCAGCTTCCAGATGTCTGGTGGTGCTCGTTTCCTTGGTAATTTTTGTTGTTTTTGTTGTTGTCATTTTTGTCCATTCTCCTGTGGTCTCACTCCCTGTATGTAGAACTTTGCACTCAGCCAAAGATCTGAGGGAAACGCATGCAGGTTTCCGAAGCTCTTTTTGGTACTGCTCCCTTATCTCTGGCATTCTGTTGTGAAGTTTCCATGCCTCCCAGCCCCTTCAAACTCCATTCTTTGTCTCGGTGGGACTTGTATGCTCTCCGTAGGCCCCTCCACGTGTTGCAGTCTGCATAAGTCACAAAGCTGGGGTCGTGGGAGGGCTTGCCTCATTTGTTTTGACAGCCCTGCATTGCGTCTTGCCCAATGTCTGAAAACAATCATTTCTTATATTTTGTATAATATCCTAGTTTATGGTGTGAGAGTTACACAGTCATGACTGGTGGAGACCACAGATACTTATTTATTTATTTTTGAGGCAGAGTTTTGCTCTTGTTACCCAGGCTGGAGTGCAATGGCGTGATCTCAACCCTCTGCAACCTCTGCCTCCCGGGTTCAAGCGATTCACCTGCCTCAGCCTCCCAAGTAGCTGGGATTGCAGGCACCTGCCACCACGCCTGGCTAATTTTGTAGTTTTAGTAGAAACGGGGTTTCTCCATGTTGGTCAGTCTGGTCTCGAACTCCCAACCTCAGGTAATCTGCCCGCCTAAGCCACCCAAAGTGCTGGGATTACAGGTGTGAGCCACCACACCTGGCCCACAAATACTTATTACATGTGTGAAGCATTTTAGTGAAGATGAGTTAGCGTGCATAGCGGAGGTAGAGGAACTGAAACTCGGAGTGGGTGGGGTGGGGAGGAATTTGACAGAGTCAACGCTGTCTGTCGTTAGAACTGGGAGGAGAGGCTGGAGCTTTGCATCCTCAGGCTGTGCTTTCACGTTCAAGCCACATCATCCCTTCCCTGGCTTAGCGGCTCTAAGCACTGCCTCCTCCTCCTCTGCTGTCTGCTCCTCCTCAGTTATGCCTTCCAGCACTTGGGATGCTGACTTCTTCAGCCAAGCCCCACTCCAAGCCTTCCTCATACCCACAGTCAGATAAGCTGGAAAGATGTTTTCCATCCCAAGTGTATCAGATCATTTGGAAAGACCAAGACCCACTAGCTCCATCATGAGCCAGTGAATGAGTTTTTGATTACCCCTACTTTGACTCCTGCTTCCAATTTGCCCAAAGACCCCCTCATCACCACGCAACCTGCAATATGAGACCATGTCTGTGAAAGCACGCCATGAACAGCAACACTGAAGCAAATGGGATTCTTTAAACCATGATTAGAACAATAAACATCTGCCTCCAGGTGCCGGACCACAGGGGGTGCAGGTGAAAGGCCTCTCTTCTCAAACAGCACTTATTCTAGGGACTGGCTGCCCACTGTGGGGTTCAGTTAGCAGACAACTTTCTACTGCCAGTGGTTTCAGGGTCTGCCTCAGATGCAGATAAGACAAAGAACCCCTTTACCCAAGGTCATAGCTTGCCAGGGAAGCCCATAACTTGTGGCTGAATGAGGAGGAGATATAAAAACCGAGGCATTTTAGTGTGATGTGAGACAACTCTGGTGGACGTCACTTGTTCTGGATCTTCTGGCTAGGTTGGCTGAAGCTTTGTCAGAGCTGCCTCCACACTTAGTCTCTCCCTCTGCCCAATCTTGCTCCCTCCTTCCTTTCACAGTTAATAATTTCTGATTAACAACTTGCACTCACACTTCAACACCACACCTGCTCGCAGGGGGCCCAACCCATGACACAGGGAATGACAAAGACCATGGACTTTGGCAGCTACAGTCCAGCCCAGTTTCCCTGCAGACAGTGAAAGGTCAGGTCAGGCAGGGGATGATGACTCCACAGAAGGGCCACCCTGACACCACAGGCTTCAGCTCCTCAACACTTTTTACCTTCTTTTTTTTTTTTTTTTGAGATGGAGTCTCACTCTGTTATCCAGGCTGGAGTGCAATGGCACAGTCTCGGCTCACTGCAATATCTGCCTCCTCAGTTCAAGCGATTCTCATGCCTCAGCCTCCTGAGTAGCTGGGATTACAGGCACCCACCACCACGCTCAGCTAATTTTTGTAATTTTAGTAGTGACGGGATTTAACCATTTGGCCAGGCTGGTCTTGAATTCCTGACCTCACATGGTCCACCTGCCTCAGCCTCACAAAGTACTGGGATTACAGGCATGAGTCACTGCACCTGTCCAACCTCCTTCTTTATTAATGTGACAGAAAGTTGAAATGAAGATGAATTATTGGGACATGAGACTAGATAATGTTTATCGAGTGGACACTCCAAGCCAGGTACTATGTGAAGCACTTCACTTGCATTATCACATTTAATTCCCTCAAGCAACCTCCCAGGGAGATAATCTTATTATCCCCATTTTATAAAGCCTCTTGCCTCTGTCTTATGAGAGTTGGGGCAGGCCCCAGGGCAATGAGCAATGATCTCAGATGCCCTCCAGAGTCCCGGTCTGTCTTCTACCGCATGAATCCCTGTGAGCAGTTTCATTCTCATTACTGGCTGCTGCTTACACCCTCTTTTTCCTCCTTCCTCCCCAGCTCTCAATTCTGCAGATCTGGCAGCACCTGCTCAGACCCCACCAGCAAATCAGAGGCACTTTCAATGCCCAACCCCCACTCTCAAAAATAGGAAGAGGAGAAACTCTCAGACCACATCCTGCGTTTGAGCAAAGTTCCCACCAGTGGTTCAACTAAGGCAAACATTTACACAACATCTTCCAGCTCATAGAAAACCTAGCATCCACCAAAGCTGGGCTCCCAGGAGGCCATTCATTCGCTCATCAGCAGTGGACTACCAGTGATGGATCTGCTGTGTGTGGTGGGGGGGGGAACTGGAAGTGTACAGATGAATGATTCATTTGTTTATTCTTACACTTTTCACCTAACAGTGACTTCCTGAGGTCTTATTTTGTTTGAAGCACAGGTCCTGAAGGTGTGGTGGGGAGCAAGAAATAGTGTTGATCACATCCTCCACTTAGTGGAAGAAATAAGATTTACAGTCCATTATCAAACAGCTTTGCAACAGTCCAGTCACGCACACACGCAATGTCCAGAAGAATGGACAAGAGATTTGTAGCTGGGGATGGATCATAACATCTCACATATAAAGGGTCTCAGACAAGGTGAGTATTGAGGTGGCTGTCGCAGTTTCTCTTCTTCCTCCCTCGTTCATCACCTGGCCCACGTCTTTCTATTTCGGCTCTCTGGGTGCCTCACAGACCCACTGCTCTTCCCAGGGAGCACATGCCTCTCTCTGAACCTGCTACCTCTTCTCCCCCATGGCCCATCCCAGTGGACACTTTCCCTCTTGAAACCTCCCTCCAGTGTCCTGCCTTATTGATGGCCACATTGAGCCGGTATCCCATGTGTCCCATGCTGAGATATGCTACAAAAAAAAAAAAAAAAAAAAAAAAGCCGGCTCTTCCTCAGCCTTGAAGCACCTGAACAGAAGTCCCTTTCTGTTACACCAGTTTTAGGCCTGAATCCGGCCCCAGAAATCAAGGTGGGATAGTGCCAAGCCTCAGGCATGCAAGCATGTTAGGGCAAACAAGAAAAATCCACTTTGCTGTATTTAGAATGGAGCATTTCTTCTTCCTTTATTTTTATTTGCATTTTTCCCTTTGATCTTCCCAGGTGTTCTTCCTCTACATTCTCTTTTTTGGGTCATACTTATTTCTGCAGTGAGCATACTTATTTCTTTTTTTTGGATCATACTTATTTCTCTCTCTCTCCCCTCATCCTTCCAACATTTCTGAGACAACCCCAGTGCCAAGAAGAGACTGAGAAGCTGGCCCTGGAGGTAGGACCTTCCCGGGACACCTGCCCAGCGCCAAATAGATGTTGAGCTGCCTGCCAACAACCACTAGAGGGCGCCCTCCCCCATGCCTCTGCCGCCGAAGCTCCCACCGGAGTCCAGGCCTGGGAGAGGACACGGGCTGTATCTGGATGGTGACTGTCTCCTCCTCCTCACTGACTAATAGAAGGCCACCCTCCATTGTTATTTCCTCCCTGTGGCAGAACCGGGTTCTGAATTTCTCCTTAGGCAAATCCCCAATTTTAATAAGCAGTTTTCCAACCTTTAGGGATTCAAGTTTTCCTTGGGGTTTTAGAACGGAGATAGACTCTGCCTTCACAGGCCCCCGTAAATCAAGGTGAATCGAGAGTGGCATTTAAATCTGGCCTCATATGCCAAGAAATGGACATCCTCACATCCTCATGCTTCCAACCCCCCGCTGGTGATCTCGGTTCCCATGACACCCCTACACTCTCAGTCACACTTGTTCCCACATCTGCCACAGAGTTACGGCGTCCAACTTCACTACAGCTGGCCTCCCTGTGAGTTTCCTGTTCTTCTTCTCATGGCAATGCCCAGATCCTCCTTCTAACCCCTCCTCAAAGTTTGCTTTCAAAGGAAGCCAGCCAGGTCCCTACCCGGGCAGTGTGGCCCTTCCATTCTCTGCAGTCCTCCTCTGTTGGTGCCGCTGTGGTGTTTGTGTTTAATTACCTGCTCCTTTATCCTGCCTCTCACATATCTCTTTCCAGAGCTAGATGCAAAAGCTGTAAATGAAGATTGGCAGACACACAAAATTTTTTTAACTATATAATGAAAACAATATAAATACAATAGGAAGTAAAAAAATAAAAAATTACAATAAATGTAATGGATTGAGTTACATAATCCAGAGAGAATTCCTAAAAAGCTATACCAAAGAGATGGGGAGAATCCAATAGAAAGGGGCAGGCAACTCAGAGAAGGAGAAAAGTGTTGGCTCCATCTTTAATTTTAACGTAAGTTAAAATAAGAAGGCAAAATTTTAATATGAAAGATCAACTAATAATAGCCATTGTTTACTGTTTACTAGAATGGCGGTAATAAGCATGCCCATATGCAGTTGAAAGGAGTACACATGGAAGCACAATTTGAAGAGCAGTAGAAGAATAGTAAATATATCTTTTTTTTTTTTTTTTTTTTTTGAGACGGAGTTTCGCTCTTGTTACCCAGGCTGGAGTGCAATGGTGCAAACTCGGCTCAAGGCAACCTCCGCCTTCTGCGTTGAGGCAATTCTCCTGCCTCAGCCTCCCGAGTAGCTGGGACTACAGGCGCGCGCTCCCATGCCCAGCTAATTTTTGTATTTTTAGTAGAGACAGGGTTTCACCTTGTTGACCAGGATGGTCTCGATCTCTTGACCTCGTGATCCACTGGTCGCGGCCTCCCAAAGTGCTGGGATTATAGGCGTGAGCCACCGCGCCGGACCAATACATGTCTTTTATACAAAATCATCGAAGAATTATCTGAGACTGTGAAATTTGAAAACAACTGAAATATCCATCAATGGGGGATGTAGTCATTGCAAAGGGCATATAAATTGATATTCTCTATTCTGACTATGTGAAAGGATGCTTTGCCATGAATTGTTGAGGGTGGGAGAGAATCAGAGAGTGTGTGTGTGTATGTGTGTGTCAGGACGGAGGAGAGAGAGAGAGAGAAGGGAGTTAGGGATGATACATACCAAAATTGTTAACAGTAGTTTCTTTAAAGAAGGAGTAGGTACTTTCATTTTCTGCTTTATATATTTTAATATTCTTAGGGTTTTGCTGCAATGTAAATTTGCTACAATTACATTTTTTAAATTTCAAGCTTGAGGAAAAAAGGAATAATCTACATGTTTGTCTCCTCTACTTAAAACATAAGTCAACAGAAAGATGGAATCAAATTATATGTGGTTCATATTTGGTTTACTGTATAAATTGCATTTATGCAGTGACTGACAAAGAGTAAACACTCCATTCATATTTTTTCAATTAATTTTCTTTAATATATTTTAAAGATTGATGCTTTATTTAGCAGCCAGTTATAAAAAAAGGCACTGGGAGATAGGTAGGGAGCAGATGTGCAAGGCCCCAGATGTGCAAGGCCCCGGGGATCTGAGCCTTTGCATCTGGAGTGCAAGTCTGTTCTCACAGGCTAAGGCAGGATCCTGAACAAACATGTGTTGAGGTTTTCGTTTTTGTGTTTCACATAATTTTTTTTTTTTTTTTCTGAGATAGAGTCTTGCTCTGTCACCCAGGCTAGACTGCAATGGTGCAGTGGTGTGATCACAGCTTACCACAGTCTCAACCTCTGGGGCTCAGGTGATCCTCCCACCTCACCTCCCAAGTAGCTGGGATTATCAGCATGTGCCACTATGCCTGGCTAATTTTTGCTTCTCATACTCCTTTTACCTAAGAACTGCACAGAGGAGTTGGGGAGACAGACACAGGCACCGATACAGTCACACGATACAGTGTGAAGGAATGAAAGGAAATAGGACGTGCTGTGGGCAGAGGTGCCAGCTAGTCCCGGCTGGCGGGGAGTGGGAAGAGCTACAGAGAAGGCGTCATTGGCGGTGCCTGGTAAACAATAGCTGTTGTAGACTGAGGCGGCTCATGCCTGTAATCTCAGCACTTTGGGAGGCCAAGGCAGGAAGATCACTTGAGCCCAGGAATTCAATACCAGTCAGGGTATAATGTAGTGAGACCCTGCCTCTACAATTTTTTTTTTTTCATTAACAAGGTGCAGTGGTGCACACCTGTGGTTCCAACTACTCTGGATGCTAAGCTGGGAAGATCCCTTGGGCCCAGGAGGTTGAGGCTGCAGTGAGCCATGATTGTGCCACTGCACTCTAGCCAGGGTGATAGAGCAAGAGCAAGACCCTATTTCTAATAAAAAATAAGCAGGCCAGAGGTGGTGTGAGCACAGAGAGAGGTGGGGCAAGAAGAAAGAGACAGATTGGGATGAGGAGGAAGGAGATTCAGGGTCAAGGTTAATACCAGGGGGCAGAGCCTGAGTATCACCTCCTTCCCTTCTCCAGAACCGGGTCCCTTTCAGGTGGGACTACATGAAAAGGGCTCTTCAGCAGCTGTCTTCACAGCAACTCATTTCCCACAGGTCAGAGTTGGCATTAGTCAAATCTGGGCTTCATTGCCGGAAAGTTTCACAAGTCTGCCAGGGGAAGTCCCTAGAATCTCCTGGATTTCTTGCTTCTTTCCTGTGGGACAGGCTGTTGAAACCTCAGAGGATAAAAGACCCAGGGAACACACATCCCAGGGGAAGCTGGCTGAGAATATGGGAGCAATCACCATGAACCAGAAGTCTCTCTGGGCAGGTAAGCAGGGGGTTGATAATTCAGAAGGAAAGTTGGTGAGGAGGGAAGGGGTAATAGGTTTGTAGAAGTGATATTCCTGCTTTTCTGGGACTTCGGTCTCTCTGTTAACCTTAGTGTCAAAAAATATCATGCTGATGCAACTCTCGCAGGGGAACCTCCTCATCTTTCCTGAATGGGCAAGAAGGCAGCAGTAGCCAGAGCCCTTTGCATTGGCGGGATGTTCTCAGTTTGCACAGAAGTGCTTCTTGTCCATGTTAGAACTGGAGTCAGGAGACGGGAAAGAGGCCAGACTTTCTTAGTCTCTTGGTGTATGAGTGTTGTATTAGGAGTCATATCTTTCATGGGCTATGCTGTGGTTACATTTTAAAACGTTTGGAAAGCCCCATGTTTCTCATCTGCAGAATGGTTTACTGAATTGAGTGTTTTCTAAACTCTCCCTTTCAACTCTACAGTTCTGATCCAAAACTCTGGCTTTTGTGATGGCTGAGAATTGGGATGAGAGTGGGGATGAGGCTAAAGAAACAGGGCTATGAGTGAACGAGGGACATTCACCGGGAGGGAAGGGAGGGGATGTGTCTGCTGGAGGAAAGAACCCATTTCTTTGTGTCCATACCTCTTTTACCTTGTCTTAGCCTCTCAAGCCATGAAGGGCCCTTGGTAAGAGCCTTTTGAGTTTCCTGTTGAACTTAGCTTAGCCCAGGACCCTCAACAGGACAGCCAGCAGGGAGGCCGCACTTCGAAGAAGGGCCTGGAGGCTGACCTGACAATGCGTGTGCCAAACAGTTTCTCCGACTGTTTACTTAGTGTGTGTGTAGAGAACCAGGTTCCTACATTCCCTGCCTAAAAAACATGTGAATCATCAGGAGAGAACTGTAGAGCCCTGTTTTCCAGCCCTAAGCTCGGCAGGGGAGGAATCGGCTCCGGCTGCTGTGTCATTCAAAGTTTTCTCTCCTTTTTGACTGCCGCTTTCTTCACTTTCAGACCCCCAAGGGCTCCAGTGTGGACAATATGCTCAGGCTGGGGGGATTGCTGTTCCAGGAGTCTTTTCCAGTGGGCAAAGTGTCTAGGATCCAGCAGCCTGCTCTTTCTTTCCTTTAGGAGAATGTGTTCAGGACAGAATAATCTCACCAGCCTTCCTAGGGTAGGCATCCTATGGAGAAAGTCTGGGCATAATCTCAAACATGTAAGTTTAGAGCACTTCCAGGGCCAGCTCACACTGCTCAACTCATCTTACCTTGTTGTAAGAGTTAATTGTTTGGGCATAGGGTGACCATTCATCACAATTTGCCTGAGACAGTTCTGGTTCAAGCTGTTGTCCCAGAGAAATTATTAATGCTCCTTTTCACTCTCCCAAGGGTCTCATTGGACAATAAACTATATGGTCACCATACCTATATTCAACCCCAGTGTAGACTGTGAGCTCCTTGAGTGCAGGGAAAGCATGAACTGCATTGTAGTTTCTCCAGTGTTCTGAGCAATGCTTGGCACAGAGCATATGATTTAATAGAACTTTGTTGGATAAATGAATGAAAAAATAAATTCCCAGGTCGGAAAATGTTTCTGCCTAGGGATATAGAGACCACAAGGCACCCCAGGGCTGGAGACCTCAGGTCCTATAAAGGAACCACAGCAGCTGTGGCTGAAGCGCCCAGATGAAGTGTGGCTCTATCTTGTATGTGGGCACACCCAAATTTTCACTGCCATCATCTGGGACAGCAGAACCAGGTTTGGCTCAGCGGATTTCTCTTTCCACCCGTCTTTTACAGGTCTAGTGGTCTTGCTGCTTCTCCAGGGAGGTAAGTAATCCGTAAGTCACTACCGCCTGGGTCTCCTGGTTTGGATGCTTTCATTTTTGATGTCTATTTTCTTTCTCTGCTACACGCTTTTTCTCTTGATTACTCTCTCTCAGGTTCTGCCACTGACGTATTTATGACACTGAGTTTTTGTTCTGCGAATCTCTTTGTGTGTCCCTTGTTCTAGTTGTCTTTTTGAGCCACTCTGTCTCTCACCCCACTCCCATCCCTGGCCTCAATATGTGTGCATGAATACACACATACACAACATATGTATTATCTGTTTCTCTACTGATCTGTGTCCTCCATCCATCCATACACACTGAAGCTTAGTGCTCTGTGGGTATTTCATATGTGGATGGTATATCTGTCTCTCAGTGTATTTCTTTTTATTTTTTTGAGACAGGGTCTCACTGTATGGTCCAGGCTGGAGTGCAGTGGCATGACCACGACTTACTGTAGCCTCGACCTCCCAGGCTCAAGCAATCCTCCCACCTCAACCTCCTGAATAGCTGAGACTACAGGTGTGCACCACTACACCCGGCTAATTTTTAAATTTTTTGTAGAGATGGGGTTTTGCTATGTTGCCAGGGCTGGCCTTGAAGTGCTGGGCTCAAGCGATCCTCCTGCCTCAGCTTCCCAAACTGCTGGGATAACAGGTGTGAGCCACTGTGCCCAGATTTAATGTATTTCTTAACTGGGGTCTGGGTACTTCAGAACCAGCACTGAAGGCCCAGGCTGAATGACCCTCAGAGGCTCTGGCAGAATGGGCGGATGATGCAATGTCTGTCTTGAGGAGAAACTTGTGGTTTTCTGGGCTCTAAGGCACCAGCACTAGAATCTCATTGGCTCTATTCACTCAACTCCAGGATCTGCCTACAAGCTGGTTTGCTACTTTACCAGCTGGTCCCAGGACCGGAAGATTCGCCCCTAAGAACATCGACCCCTTCCTATGCTCTCACCTCATCTACTCATTCGCCAGCATCGGGAACAACAAGGTTATCATCAAGGACAAGAGTGAAGTGATGCTCTACCAGACTATCAACAGTCTCAAAACCAAGTCAGTAAGATGGGGGTGGAAGCATACTGCACGACTTTTAGGGAAGAAGTTGGTCTTAAGCTGGGCCTAAGACCTACTATCTCATTCATTCGTTCGTTCATTCATTCATTCATCCATTCCTATGCATTTCTCTGGGTGTATTTCTGATCCTAACTGTTTTTCTCACCGGTGCTTCACTGAACTTTGCTTTGGTTCAAACATCCAGGCCCTATTTGTCCATATTCTCTACACTTAAGAATTCTGTTCTTCAGACAAAGGCTTCCCTGGCAGCCAGAAAAGCAATAATCATCTTTTTCTTCTACTTCAGGAATCCCAAACTGAAAATTCTCTTGTCCATTGGAGGATACCTGTTTGGTTCCAAAGGGTAAGACCACATCTTTATTTTTTGTTCATTTTCCCATGTAATTTCTGATCATCACCACTTTTCCTCCTCCTGAGAATAGATATTGGACTAGGCTTTAAGACGTTTTCCCTTGGCCAGGGGGCAAAACTGGTCTGAGTTTTGTCACAAGCAGAGGCACAGCATTCAGCTTCCTGGGGTCTTTGAAGGAATTCTTTCGGAGCTTAACACAGGCCCAGACACTCAAGGCTTGCGAAAAAGTGGACCATGAACAATATTCTAAAAATTCTTAATTATTTACAGAACGTTTTCCACTTTATGGATTATAGGGATAGTTTTAATTGGAAAGTGCAATTTTTTTTAACCACTAGAGGGTTTGACTTTGCACCCTGGGGTGGGTTGGGTGGGTTGCTTCCACTGAGAAGCCCCACCTTGGCCCACAGCAGTCAGCGGACTACAATGTCTGGGGTCCTGGCTGCACAGCCAGATGGCCTGAGCACAATCAGAGCAGCAGAGGAGACAATCGGTTCTGCTTTGCTTAAAACCAAAATAGCTAATGATACAAAGCACGCATTCTAAATCATATTTTCTATTCACATGAAAATGATATCCCACTTACATCAAGAGCTAAATGAAAATACATAAAGATAAAAATCACATTTTTCAATCTTCAACTAGAATTTATCTAATTTCGAACCTCTTCTGCTTTATTATTTAAACTGCTAGCATCTTAAAACATCCAGGGATCTTACACCTGGCTAGGAGAGTCTTGCAGTTTTTACAGAAGTCTGATAGTACCACTTGTGCAACTTGTCAGTGCTCAGTTACAGCTGGAGTAGGCATAGAGAAGAAGCAGGGGTTAGAAGACCTATGGAGATTTCTGCACACAGAAAGAAGGAGGAAAGATCAGGCAACCTAACTTTTTTGGTTCTGTGTTAACTCCTCCGTGAGCACCCTTCAGTATGAATGGGTTTCCATGGCAACTATCTTTTTAATTCTCAAATTCTCTCTCCTTCCTAATACGTGCTTAGGTTTTGATACAAATAAAAATGTCTTCGTTCATTCATTCATCCTTGCTTTCGTTCATTCATTCATTCAGCAAATTCATTCAGTAAGTAATTGTTTACCAGTTTAGTGATTAAAAGTAGAACTTTGGAGATAGACATGTTTGGTTTGGATTTCCCGTTAGACCCATGCAAGCTGTGTGACTTCGTCAAGTTCTTCAATGTCCATATGCCTCAGTTTTCTTTAACTATATAATAAGAATAGTAACAGAATTTGCCTCAGGGTGATGTTGTAAACGCAGGCAACGCAAGCAAACTGTTTAGCATAAGGGCTCAATGATTGCCGTAATCATTATTATATGATTATTATTGTTATTATTAGGTAAATGCCAGGCTTTGTGCCAGGTCCTGTGCAGAATAATTATGTATATGAAACACAGAAACTTGCTTCTAAGGAACAAATTAGTAAATTTCTATTGAATGGGCATTCCTCCTAAAAGTGGAGGCATCTGCCCAGAGGCTCAGGTGCGATGGCTTTCTGATTATTGTAGGCATTTTCAAATGCAAGAGAAACGATAGAAACCTATTTCCACCATAGTTTTCTGATAGCTGGCCAGTTTCTTGCTATCTCTTCTACTTTGAAGCTGAGAGACATGCAGGAGTTAAAAATCTCAATTAAATTGAATAAAAGAAAATTAATTCATTCAAGGCTCTAAGAAAGCCTGGGTGTGGGAGCTATTGTAGGAGGTGAAAAGTGATACAACTTAAAGGTTACGTCCCCAAGAAAATACCAGTTTCTCATCTACAGCTTTGGGTTTTAAATGCTGTTGGTGCCCTTGGTGTGGGCATCTGAGAATCAACTTCATGGCTTCAGAAGTCTGGTTCAGATGGAACCCTTGAGGAGCTGCTGCTTTCAAGCCCTGCTTTTCATCAGATATCCTGGGGCTGGGGAGATCTGCATTGCCTATTTGTGACCGGGATGCTTGTTTGGGGACCATGAAGTCACTGGAGTCCAGTTTCTTTTCCTGGGACTTCCCTAAATGTTACCCCATTGAGGAACATGAATCAGGATTAGTACCCCCAGTCCCAATTTAGAGGTAGCCAGACTGGAACTCAGAGAGCAGGTTAATGACAAGGTGGCCGTCGAAAGGACTCTGACCTGGACTTGAATCTAGCTCTCCTGACCCTAAGCCCACCACATTGCAAACTGCTTTTCCAAGGGTGTAAAGTGTTAAAGAAAACCAAAGCTGGACAGTATTTAAAGCAGTAAAACAGATTTTATTCAGGAAATACTGCAATGGGGGAAAAAGACCTCAGTATGGTTCTGGGTTCCATTCCAAGGATAGCAAAGGCAAGGGAGGAAATATAGTCAAAGAGCACGCTGGGGGAAATCAGTGGATGGAAAATCATAAAGAGAAAGCCTTAGGGCTAGGAGGATTCTTGCTAAACTGATTCAACAGAATTCCTGCTAAAGGAGGCCAGAGTGCTAAGCTATCACCTGAGGGATGGCGGAGGGGAGGTGAGGGTGATCAGGTACCAGGGGTGGGGTTCTCTTGCTAAACTGATCTAGCAGGATTTTTGCTAAAATTGGACACTGCAAAGACAGACACAGAAGCCCAAGGTTGAGGTCCAGCTGAGAAGAGGGCTCAGAGATGCCCACCTAAAGGTTGGTCAAAGGCAGCTCCGTTACTCTCAGGAAGGTCTGCAGAGAACCCAACCTTCTATTACCTGGCTGGATGAACGTTCTGGCCCAACAATCCTTCTTCTCTCATCTGATCCAAAAGGGGAAAGCATTAGAATTGACAAATTGTAAGTGAATACTGGGGAAGAGAAGGCTACTTCAGGATTTCTGTGAAAAACGTGTTGCACTACGGGTGTTACTTGTCCTTTCCAAAAAGACACTTGTATGACTTCTTCCCAGGTTCCACCCCATGGTGGATTCTGCTACATCACGTTTGGAATTCATTAACTCCGTAATCCTGTTTCTGAGGAACCATAACTTTGATGGACTGGATGTAAGCTGGATCTACCCAGGTCAGAAAGACAACACTCATTTCACTGTGCTGATTCATGTAAGTCAGACACCATGGTGTACTCAGTACTCTGACATGCAGAATCCACAGACACACTGGGAGAGAAAAAGAAGAGATTGAGTCTGATGGGCAGCCCCAGCCTTTCTGAAGCCCCCACTAATGGGGGAAAAGCCCCTGTTCCTTGCTTAAGGCAGGAACAATATGAAACAATGGAGCCCCCTTACATATTTATTTTGATCTTCTTTTTGATGAAGATCATCAGCAACATCCATATAAAAGAGTGTGGAGCCGTAGGATTTCCTGGGTACTGAAGTAGCCTCATAGAAGATCTATCAGGTAGATCAGAAAATCTAACAGGTAGAAATCAAGATAGTTATTTCCTGGGTATAGTGAGGCTGGGATTCTCCTGCCTAATGTGGAAACTTCCTGAGCAGATACAGGCACAAGGCATCCCATGTGGGATGGAGAGGAAAGGATTGATCTTTTCCATCTAATGTGGTTCTAGAAACCTCATAGATTCCAGGCAAGAAGCTTAGTGCTGTACTCTAGGAAGGGAAATCTAACACTTTGTTTCCTTGTTTTCCCTAGGAGTTAGCAGAAGCCTTTCAGAAGGACTTCACAAAAGCTACCAAGGAAAGGCTTCTCTTGACTGCAGGTGTATCTGCAGGGAGGCAAATGATTGACAACAGCTATCAGATTGAGAAACTGGCAAAGTGAGTACATCAGAGCGACTTTCCATCCCTCTGCTTCCAACTTGGGCCATGCAAATGATGCCTTAGCCTGTTTGAGGGATGAGAGGAGGAGGAAGAAAAGGAAGGTCACTGTCCTAAGCCTGCATCATTCAGCCAGGAACAATCTCTTTACAGAGACTTTCAATCCTTCTAGCAGCATCATTCAAAGCCAAAACAATTACTTCAGTTGTTTCTACCACTGCTCATCACAAAATCTCTCCATTTGCTTTTGGCACTTTAGAGATCTGGATTTCATCAACGTCCTGTCCTTTGATTTCCATGGGTCTTGGGAGAAGCCCCTCATCACTGGCCACAACAGCCCTCTGAGCAAGGGGTGGCGGGACAGAGGGCCAAGCTCCTACTACAATGTGGTGAGTGAACCAGGGAAACCGCAGGGGCACTGGCTGTGGATGTGGGGCACCGGGGAAAGTCCAGCATGTCTAGAGTTACTTCTGTCTTGAACTGAGGAAGATCCACGAGCCCGGGAGGGATATGAGTAGCCCCAGGAGCAAGTGGTGCAGGAGAAGTGATTTAACCAGGCACCAATAAAATATCACCTGGAAAATGTCAGAAGTGCTGATAGCTGAAGTGCCCTGAGCTCTGTCTCTGGCTCACGGTGCCTCCATCCCGGTCTTCTCTGGATTTTCCATCTTGGATACGTTCCTTGGCACCTACACAGGTGTACAGAACTTATACCTTCCTGTGTCCATCTGCATTCCCTATTTAATTCTATCTTCAAAACAACACCCTGAGGTCAGCTGGGTAGGAATTATTACTCCCACTTCACAGATGATGAAATAGAAGCTTGGCAGATTCCATTGACTCTTCAGGGTTGTGTGATGTGAAGATCCTGGTGGTGGGAAATGAAAAGTGAAAAAAAAAAGGTGTTGATGTTGTTCTGGAACAAAATGTGTCTACCCGATGGGTTGTCCTTGCCCACTGCATAGACAGAGCTGATTTATCAAGATAGGGGAATCGCAATAGAGAAAGAGTTTAAGTCATGAAGAGTCAGCTGTATGGGAGACTGGAATTTTGGTATTACTCAAATCAGGCTCCCTAAAAATTCAGGAATCAGGGTTTTCAAGGATAATTTGGTGGATGGGGGTCAGAAAGTAGGGAGTGCTGATTGGTCAGATTGAAGATGAAATCATAGGAGTTCGAAGTAGGTTTTTCTTGCTGTCCTCTGTTCTTGGGTGGAATCACAGAACCTGTTGAGCCAGATTCTTGGGTCTGGGTGGTGTCAGCAGGCACATCAGAATGCAAGATCTACAAAATATCTTAAGCACTGACCTTAGCTTTTGCAACAGTGATGTTATTCCCAGCTGCAATTTGCAGAGGTTTGGAATCTTGCAGCCTTTGGCTGCATGAGTCCTAAACCATAACTTCTAGTCTCGTGGCTAATTTGTTAGTTCTACAAAGGCAGACTAGTCTCTAGGCAAGAGGAGAGCTTGTTTCCAAAAAGGGCTGATAATCATCTCTGTTTCAAAGCTAAACTACAGACTAAATTCCTCCCAAATTTTGTTTGACTTACACCCAGGAATGAACAAGGACAGCTTGGAGATCAGAAGAAAGATGGAGTCAGTTAGGTCAGATCTCTTTCACTGGTATAATGTTCTCAGTTAAAATTTTTCCAAAGGCTGTTTCACATATATGGATGTATATTCCTAAAATTCTGGGAGAAAAAACATCTGTGTTGCATGTCTCCAGGGCTGCATATTCAAAGTTACAAAATGGATCAGTCCAGAGCTAGATCTCCTGATTTCTGGTTGTAGTTTTCCAGGCCTTCATGTGGCTAAGTCACATCAGCCTCCTTCACCCCTTCCTCTCTGCCAGCTATCTTTAGGGATGGGGAGACATGTTTTGTCTTCTCTAATCCCTTATTTTGTTCTGAGAGCAGGAAAACCAAAACTAGCCTCTTACCTCCCAATCTGTCTATAAACCAAAAATAAAATTCTAAGCCCTCCAAACAAATCCTTCCTCTTGGCCAAGGGCAGTCCAAGGTCAACCTGAAAAATTAATTCAGGTCATGATGGGAAGTGGGGTGTCGGACATGCCTCACTGACCAGCATTAACATCAACACAGAGACCAGAAACATTTACAATCTAGTCTCTCTGAAGCCTGCTACCTGGAGCCTTTATCTGCATGATAAAACCTTGGTCTCCACACCGGCTTATCATAACCCAGACATTCCTTTCTATTGACCTCAGGCCTTAAGATAATAACTCCTTCAATTGCCAGTCAAAAGATCTTTGAATTCCCCTATGACCTGGAAGTCCCCGCTTCTAGTTGTCCTGCATTTCTGGAGTGAACCAGAGTACATATTTCACGTACTGATTGACGTCTTATGTCTCCCTGAAATGTATGAAACCAAGCTGTACCCTGACCACCTCAGGCACATGTTCTCAGCATCTCCAGAGGGCGGTGTCACGGGCCATGTATCACTCATATTTTGCTCAAAATAAATCTCTTCAAATATTTGACAGAGTTTGACTGTTTACATTGACATGTCCCATTGGGCCCAAGGTCATTGTGAGGCCTCATGGACAGCCACCTTTGTCACTATTCACAATGAGCCATCGTGTAGACAAATTCCATAGGGATTTTGAGTTGACTCAAAAGGCAAAAGAAGATGGTGACAATCTTGATTTCATGTTTTCTAGGTTTCTTGACTGATTTCTTTTGTGATCCACTGTCTAATTCCTTTCAGAAATTAGAAAAAGATGCGTAAGCCTTTTGGCTAAAGAGCATATGTGCATTAGAACAAGCACTCTGGTCCTGCAGGATTGGGTCTGTTCACACTCAGATATAGAAAAGAAACCAAGCAGTCACCTTTGTGAAGTTTGGGATAGAGGCTAAAAAAGGCCTGACACCTTGCTTTCCTCACACTCTGAGCCTCTATCTCTCTTTCCATTCTAGGAATATGCTGTGGGGTACTGGATACGTAAGGGAATGCCCTCAGAGAAGGTGGTCATGGGCATCCCCACGTATGGGCGCTCCTTCACACTGGCCTCTGCAGAAACCACCGTGGGGGCCCCTGCCTCTGGCCCTGGAGCTGCCGGACCCATCACAGAGTCTTCAGGCTTCCTGGCCTACTATGAGGTACCCGGAAACCCCCTGTGCCCTCAGCTGCCTGCCATGTGTGGGTGGCAGTTCCAGCTTCAATCTGACAGTAAAGCGTCCTGAGTGTTGTGAAGGGGAAAGTGCAGAGTACTACTGAACATGTGAGAGGAGCTCCGAACTCTGGCTTGGGAGAGGGCCAGGGAATGCTTCCTGGAGGATAGGCAGAAGGAGGGTATGCAACATTGAAAAGGAAGACCACCCCAAGTTCTTGATTTGAGCAGCTAAGTGGATGGCAGTGCCATTTACAGAGATAGGGAAGACTGGATGGAGAACAGAGTGGAAACTGGTCCTGCTCATGAGATCAGTTTTGGACGTTCTGAGTGTGAGGAGCCTGTGGGACATACAGATAACAAGTGAGTCGTTGAATATTTGGATTTGGATCACAGCAGGCCAGTCTGCATCAGACAGATAGATTAAAAAATATCAGCATAAAGATCGTACCTGAAGCCAAACCATACAGTAAGAAGTGAAAGGGGCCCAAGACAAACCCAAGGACTTCCTGCACCCGAGGGATATGCAGAGGGAGAGAAGCTATTAAGGTAACTGACAGGGAACTACAAGAGGGGTGGGAGAACCCACACAGTTCTGTGCGGAAGACCTTAGAGAAGCAGGTGTTTCAAAAGGAGGGAGTGGTCAAATGTGTCAAATTCTGTACAGAAGTCAGATCACGGGGATAACAAAAGTGTTCAGCTAATGATACCATCATTTCTCTCTGCCCTCCAATCTAGAAACATTTATTTAAAAAGCACAGGGGAAGATAGAAATCTAACAATAAGTCAACCAACAGAAATCTTTGGACACTCCCATATCCCAAACACTGGGTACTGAGAAAGCTAGAAATAAGCAATTATCCATCCTTATCTCTAAAGGAGTTATTGTCAAGGTAGAAAGAATGTAGAATACAAATATAACTAGTTGCACAAAAGTTCAAAAACAAGATAACTATAACATTTAATAAAGTCACAGAGGCATGGCAAAACAATATGGGATTAAATGATCAATACATGGTGTGCAGTGACATGAGATCAGAGATGGGTGACCGGGGACGGCTCCATGGAAGAGCACAAGTTTATGCTGAGCCTTGAAGGATGAGTAGAACTTTAATTAGGTAGAGAAAAAAATATTATTCTATATCCTGGTCTCTCTTTGGAGTCCCAGCCTGACCTCTCATTGTGGGTGTGGACATGCCATGGGCCTATGCTGAATGACTTGACACCCACCAAGGTATCCATTCAGTATAGTGCTCAATTTTTTCCTTCACCTTACACATGGGAATGATTGACACATCATCAATTCAACTGGCAAGAGGAATGGGACATGGGTCATTGTGAGAGTCCTCATTGAATCTCAGGGTACCTGACAGATAAGAAGTGGAAGAGAGGCTGACCCATCTTTGGGTACTTTTAGGTTGATAGTAATAACACTCTTAAGGAAGAGAGGTCATTGCTCAGAATCTGCTGGTAGCGTTTTAAAATCAACCAGTAGATAGGCACTTCTGCATCTCATGGAAAGTTTGATTCGATTGTTCAGTTCATAATGACTCTAGGTCATTACAACTTTGACAGGTTGACATTTGATTAAATATTCAACTTACATTTTCTGCCTTCATTGTACTAAGCATGAATGCAGTTCATTCAAAAAGAGTAATCCAAAATGGATTTTCTATGATGCTAAAATGCATTTTTAAATTGAAGATGTATCTTTTTTAGAGCTCCTCCTTATGCTAACAGAAAGAATGTAGCTAATGATAGAAGGGGAGTCCCAGGACAGGGGATATTGGGAATGGGAGGGGACAAAGGCAGAGGAATGAGACTGAAGTGGAGATACTACAAGGTGAGGAACAGTGGTGATGATCTTGATAATACTTCACATTTGTAGAGCGCTTTACTGTTTCCAAAAAAAGTTTAATGTGTATCAGTTCATTTGATCCTAACAACACTGTAAGGCAGATATGTTGGAAGCATTATTGTAATTATTTCCATTTTGCAAATGAAGAAGTTGGAAGATGTATTGGTCGGTGCTGGGGTCTGATCTAGAACTCAAGTATTTTCTGATTTCTAGCTGCTGTGTCTCCTCCTGATGAGACTTCAGCACAGACACTTCCCAGTGTCTCATCTTGTATGATATAGGTGGTGATTTCTCTCATTGTCTGATCCTTGGGATAAAGGTTCTGATATTTTTCCCAAGTTTCTAGTGGCTCACCTGTCCTGTCTATTCCCATCAAGTTTCAAGAATAAGCCATTACTGACCCTCCTGTTTCCCTTTCCTCTGCCAGATCTGCCAGTTCCTGAAAGGAGCAAAAATCACGAGGCTCCAGGATCAGCAAGTTCCCTACGCAGTCAAGGGGAACCAGTGGGTGGGCTATGACGACGTGGAGAGTATGGAGACCAAGGTAGGGGGGCAGCAGGCTCTGGAACGGGCAGATGCACCTTTGGGGTGGGGGTTGGAGGGAATGGGGGTATGTGGTAAAATGCCTGAATACTCCATGTTGAAAGAGAGAAGCTTCTGAGGCCCCAGACTCTAGGATGGGATCCAGCACCCTCTACAGCTCAAGTCTAGTAGTGACTCTATGCCATACCTGTGAGCAGCTGTGGTACAGGTAGAAGAGTTGGAAAGGATGCAAAAAATAGTTGAGAACAAGTCAGTTTATTCTGATAAGTGGAGAGAAGTGAGGGGCAAGGAGCAGGGAGAGGGAATAAAGGAGACATTGGTGCCTGTATAGGTAATTTACTTTGTCAATTATCTCAGGACAAACTGTCAGTCCTTCTCACGGATTGCCTAACTAGAAGGCTCCAGATTCCTGAGCCTATCATTTCTTAGACCTTGGTAAGACATTTGTGCTCCTTTCATGATTAGGGCAAAAAGGAGGCTTAAGTGTAACTGACAATCCTGGCCACTTATCTTGTTAAGGGCTTCCTAGTTTCTTTCCTTATTATGAATGCCGGACCTTGAGTTTGGTGACTCTGTGAGTCAGAATGAGAGATGGCTAATGCTGACTTGGTGACTCTCTCTCTGAGCAATTTTACTACTCAAGGGGTCTCTAACTCCAGAAAATAAGTTAGTCCACTGCTGCAGTCTAAGCCCAGACCCTCATCTGAACCTGATATGGTCCTGGATATTTAGGGGCCTCTTCTAATCTCTGTGTGTCCTTCTGTGCCTCCCATAGGTTCAGTTCCTAAAGAATTTAAACCTGGGAGGGGCCATGATCTGGTCTATTGACATGGATGACTTCACCGGCATATCCTGCAACCAGGGTCCTTACCCTCTTGTCCAAGCAGTCAAGAGAAGCCTTGGCTCCCTATGAAGGTAACAGTCCAAGCTGGGGCTGGAAGTGGGCAGAGAGCTGGTCAGAACAGGGCACAGGAGACTGGGGGAGATCATCTTCGCATGTTTGGACTAATCTTTTCTCATGCTCTTTTGGCTCTTCCGCCATGTTTTCTTAGCAATTAGGCTGGTTCTGCCCTTTTCATAGGCATCCCATAGACTTTTTAAATAATAATATCAATAAATTTTAGCTCATTTTATTGAGCATAATATGAGCTAAAGACTTTCATTACACGTATATTAGGGATAAACATTGACTCCACCCACCACAATTCTTGGTTACAAAACCATCAGCCTGTCTTAATTTTCTAAATCAAAATAAATCTGACTCTATTCCCTCAATTCACTGGACTGATGATAAATTCAATCTCAGTCATTACCTAATGCCCTTTTCCTCCACCCACAGTTGATATTACTTAGTCTAGACATTTGGGAGGTCCCGTGGTCATTATTGATATATGCCTTTACTTAAGCCTCCCTGTTACCTTGAAGGTTGGTGGCTTTGCTGCTGCTCCATCCCTGGGCCCTCGGTTCCCTAGGTGTGCTCTATATTCTCCTGTGCAGATGAAGGCTGCTGTTGACCAACCAGCTATGCTGTGATCCACTGGTTCTAGGGCAGAGGGTGGAGAAGCAGGTCACTGGGTCTCACTGCAGACAGATAACGGAAAAGGACTGGCTCTGCTATCCTGTAAAAGGGCCTAGAGCCATTTGAAAACTCTTGATTAGATGGTTGGGTAGCAGCCTTCCAACTCTGATTATCCGTTGTTCAGTAATTTGACTTAGGCTTCAGTTTACTGAGTTGGGTTTTGAAATAGTTTTCCTTTTGTTTCCAGGATTAACTTACAGAGAAGCAGGCAAGGTAACCTTGCTGCCTGGGGCCTGTTCTCTCCCAGAAATTCTCAGTGGGATTCCCCCTTGCCGGCTGGCCTTTGGATGTCTCTTCCAAGCCTCACCTGACTTCCTCTCCGATCGCGGATTGGGTCTGGCTTTGTTTTCCTGCAGCTATTGACTTGTTGCCCTGAAGTACAATAAAAAAGTTCATCCAGTATGGCCTCATTTGTTCAGTCCTTGACCGTGTGATATCAGGCTATCCTGTCCCTACTATTTGTGGGGTCCAGAGCTAGGGTGCAAATGAAGGTCTGCCTATTAGATGTTTAAATATTAAAAACAGCTCACATGCTATTAAAATATGACTTAGGCTCCAACATTAACAGATATAACTTTGCAACCACTTTGAAGATCAGAACCTGAAAATTTAGAATTCTCAGACTCCTTGGAATTCCATACCAGAATGCGACTGCACGTGTCCTCAGCTCCCAGCCAACAATCTTTTTCTCTTCCCGTCATCGGCTCTGGCTCTCACAGTAGAAGCCTCGCGGGCATACTTGTGGACACTGTAGCCTTTGCATCCAAGCTTCATCTGCACTCTACCCTCTACCCTCAACCTCCAACACACACACACACACACACACACACACACACACACACCCTGGGCTATGCATGTGTGCACACCAGCATTGTGGTCCACTCTCAGTGAAGATGGGCCCAGGGAAAAGTCATGTGTAGGCCCTGAGAGTGCACACAAGTTCTTCCATCTGTTTGGGTAGAAGTGCTGGGTATCTGGATCATGATTTAGAAGAGGAGGTATGTGAGCTTGAAGTGAATGTGCTCCTAGCCTGACAGTCTCCTTACCTCATGGGGAGGGGTGCAACTGGAAGAGGGCCCAAGTGGGACCCTTCAGAGGAGGGTCAGCAAACTATGGCCCACAGATCAAACCTAGCCCACTGACTGTTTCTGTAAATAAGATGTTATTGGAAGACAGCCACACCCCGTTTGTTTACATATTGTCTGTGGCTACTTTCTCTCAACAATGGCAGAGTTGAGAAGTATGACCGAGATGGGATAGCCGGCAAAGCCTAAACTATTTACTCTCTGGCGCTTTATAGAAAAGTTTGCCAGCTCCTTTTCTAAAGCATGGTACCCATAGCACCAAGTCTAAGGCTGATTCTGATGTCAGACACCTCAATTTTAGGATAGACTGTTTTCCCCCATTTTCCCAATTTCTTCCAATCTTTTCCTTCTAGAAAAGTCACTTTTATCATGACCTTTGAACAGCAGTTTCATGTGCATATTTAATCCTTATTAAATATGCTTGTGAAGTAGCTTATAATAAGCGCAATTTTCAGATGAGCTAACTGGAGCATCCGTGTAAGGGTACAAATCTGGTAAGTGGTGGCAACTAGACTGAATCCAAGAAGGTGGCAGCACCAGAATATCTGTGGAAGAGTGGATTAGAGGTGGCCACACGATCACATGATCGAAGAGGCATAGGGTGGGAATGCGAGGAGACTTTTTTCAAAACTGCTTTGAATATCCTATTATGACAGAAAACCCCAGACGTACATACCAAAGAATGGGAGTGGCAAGCACTGACGGGCACTAAGGATGTTAGTCCACAAGATCCCCTTGAATGCTGCTCCAGTGCTCAGATCTTCTTACTACAAAGTAGAAATTGCTTGGGCACCTCTCTGGCTTTCTAACTTTGCTTCTTATGGTAATTGCTTTCTCAAGAAGCAGAAGAGCAGAGTAATGAAGAACACAGCCAGATCTCCTGGGTTCACACACACGGGTTTTGTCACCAACCTAGTGGCTACGTGACCTTGGGCATATTATTTACTTTTTCTGTGCCCCCAATTTTCTCGTTTTTAAGGTGGGGATAATAAAAGTATCTACCTCTCAGGGATATGATGATGGTTAGGTAAGTTGATATTTGTAAGGCATTTGGGCAAATGCCTGACACATCACAAATATTATTTATGTTTGTTGTTATTTTCATTAAAAGGAAAACATTAGATAAAACAAATGTAACAGCTCATTTGAGCAAAGAATGATTCGATGAATTGGGCAAGACTCAGAACCAGAAGAAGTTCAGAGAGCTCTGCTCTGCAATATAGAAATATTTATCGACAAAATAGAAAGTAGAGAAATAGTTTAATTGGTCACAGCCAGGAGTTTGCCTTATTTAAACATGGGCTGATCAGTTGGCTGCGTGTGATTGGCTGAGATCTGGCTACTGTTACAAAAAACATATACTTCTAAGTTAGGTTTCAGTTTATTTACATGCTACATTATGTTGCAGTTCATTAGTAGGAACTCAAACTACAGAGATAACCTTAGGCCAGATTTAATTTAACAGTTCCATTATCCAGCTGCTATCATGGGCACAAGAGAGTACAGGCAGCTCCCAACACAGGAACCTTGGCCTTGCGTGGACCTACGAGCCCATTAAAGATGTGTGTCTTGGGCTCTGAGCCCTGAACTCTCTGGAACCCTCTTTCATGCTTGCTGTGAGGATAGAACCATTTGTTTTGCAAACATCCAGTAGAAGATTAAGGAAATCAAGACCTCTGGATTGGCTATGTTTGGGAATGGATTCTGGCCATTTTTTTTCTTTTATTTTCTGTCTCCTACACCCCCACCCACTACAATCCCTTTGAGGAGATCTTTGCAGGCTAAGAGTCTTATGCAAAGGAGGAACCATATCTTAGAGTCGCTCAGGGGTAGTAAGGGTGAGAGTCAGGAGGTCATAAGAACCCAGGCCCCAGAGTCAGTCTGTCTCTGCTTGGATCACAGCTCTGCTGCTTCTTGGTGTGATCTTTGGCAGTTTGTTTATTCTCTTGTGCCTCAGTTTTCCTAATATGTAAAATAGATAATAGTAACAGCATCTTCCTGAATAAATAACTTACATTTATTCGATGACTTTGGACCCTAGGTCAGCCTCATACGTGTGCCAAAATGCCATTTTCCTGTGACGCATTTAGCACATTGTAAGTGCTGACTGAATGTTAGCTGTTACTGTTTTCCGTACTGATCCAGCTCTAATTAGTAAATGCCTCCAGTTTTTGACATTCTTTAGGGTTCAGGCAGAGGCTAAACAGCCAAAAGCCTGGGAAGGATGCGGACAGACTGCAGGTAATAAATAGCCTTGGAAATGCCATCAGTCCTGCACAACCACACACATGTACTGAAGTTTCTAGGACTCATTTCTGTTTTCTTTGTGAATCTAAATTGCCTTTAAATGGATCTAGCCTCAAAGCTCCCAAGGGTCTGATTAGCATCTTCCAGAAAAATCTTGAAAATATACCTGGCAGATGTCTTACGTAGGAGGTATCTTGGCATCTACTGGGAGTGGAGCCAGCAGCAAGACCCTCTCCTAGGTGGGATTTCAGTTCAGTTAGGCTATGTAGATGCCTTGGGGCTGATGTCAGCGCCAAAGGTTTTTTTAAAAAGGCCTGCCTTAGAGGTGAGCAGACCACATCCTTGGTAGTTTCATTATCTTCTGGGGTGGAAGAACCCTCAGAAATGGTCTGGAAACCTATGATGTGGTATCATGGTGGGCTTCCTGTAGGTGACATTTCTTTACGTAAGGGTGGTAAGGCTGGGGTTGGAGTGGTAGGAGGCCGGTCCTAAAATATTGTGATTTTCAGAGCCTTGATCCCTGGGCATTTTTGCAGCTGTCTTTTCTCTGATATACATTGTTCCGTAGGACCTTGTCCCAGGACTTGCTGCTTCTCCTTTGTGAGTCAAAGCATAATTAGAAATGTCTGTCTCAGGTGAATTTTCTCTATCCCCTGTAAACCCGACAACCTTCAAATAAACAGAAATAACACTGGAAAATTATGCTTTCTCACTCCAAACTTGATAGAACTCACAAACTTGTTGTAGCCACTACCCAAACCTATTACTATAATAGAATCAAGGTGTCGGGGCCTGGGAAGGGCCTACTCATCCAGGGTGGTTTACCCAGGAATATGGTCAAATGCTTGCTTGATGTCCCTTGTTTGTACTCCTCTGATAGTATCCAGCTGGTCTCTTTTGATACATGGGGCCTACTGTGACCCCAAATGACTTTGGACCCTCGGTCAGCCCATACATGTGCCAAATACGCCATTTTCCTCAAAGAACTTTCAGTCAACAAACTTTTAAGGCTGCTTTCTCTAGTGTCCCTGGGTTGATTACCCAAGATGGAAAACACAGATAAGATTCAGAGAGGCAACTGGGGGTGGTGGCTCACATCTGTAATCCCAGCACTTTGGGAGGCTGAGGCGGACAGATCACGAGGTCAGGAGATTGAGAGCATCCTGGCCAATATGGTGAAAGCCTGTCTCTACTAAAAATACACATACAAAAAATCAGCTGGGTGGCACCTGCCTGTAATACTAGCTATTAGGGAGGCTGAGATAGGAAAATCATTTGAACCAGGGAGTTGGAGGTGGCAGTGAGCCAAGATCATGCCACTGCACTCCAGCCTGGTGACTGAGCAAGACTCTGTCTCAAAAAAATAAAAGATTCAGACAGCTAAGGAGAGCTGCATGCCACCCCTACCCCTTTATTCCTGATCTCCTACTGTGCCTGCTAACAGGAGCCAGGTGCAGAGTGAGAGGACCTGCTTAAAAAGCTGTTGAGCACCCCATTCACACCTGGAACTCGAATTTAAGACTTCCCAGCAAAATGGGCAAGCTGCCGACTCTTGCTGATGAGTCTTTCCCAGGCAAGCTGAGTTTAGCTTTCAGAGCAGCTGCCTTTTCTCCTCCGTTCACTTGCTGTCTCCTCCCCTCTCCTGGCTCCAAAGGCCTGCATTGTCTCCTTCCTTCCTCTCTTCAGCCTTCTTGAGTTCATAACATAGTGGGGAAGTAAGGAAGGGCTCGCTGAGCACCTTAGGGCTTCGTATGGGAGGGAAAGTGGATAACTCTGGTGGATCAAGACAAGGTCATTTCCCCCATGTGAAATGCTAGAAGACTTGGGCCAGCCCCCACCCCTCCCCGACCCCTTTCCAGTGCTCTGTGATTCCTGCTCAGTGCCAGCCGCAGAGCAGGAGCTCAACACGCTCACTTAATCAAAGATTAACCAACTACCAGGAGCAATTAGTAGAAAAATGAACGAGGCGGATGTTTCTCTGAATGTAGAACTCTGGGAGCAGGTGTGTAGAAGGAGGTTTGGGAGAGAGGAAGAAAAGGCCTTAAAGAGTTAACACAG